GTGAGCAAAGAGCTGGCTTATTTTACTATCAAGGAGCAGCAACTTCGGCAGCTACCATGATACACAAGTCTCCATCGGTTGATATTTGGCATCAGCGTTTGGGACATCTCTCTCCAAAGGCGCTGTCAAAGATTTCTGGCCTTGATATTTTTATTTTTCCTAGTTCTGTTTCAGACATTTGTGATACTTGCTTCAGAGCAAAACATACCAGAACACCTTTCCCTTTAAGCACTAATAAAGCTACTGCTGTTTTCGAGCTCGTTCATTGTGATATTTGGGGTCCTTATAGATCTCCTTCTTTGTCTGGAGCGAAATACTTCTTAACCATCGTAGATGACTTCTCCCGCGCAACTTGGATTTTTCTGATGGCTGCCAAACAGAAACACAAACAAAACTACGCCACTTTGTTGCTCTTGTTGAACGCCAATATAACACTGCTGTCAAAACTTTTCGCACTGATAATGGAGCAGAATTTATCAGCATGCGACCTTATTTTTCTGAAAAAGGGATTTTTCATGAGACATCGTGCGTAGGAACACCGCATAAAAATGGTCGTATCGAGAGGAAACACCGCCATATCCTCAATATTGCTCGAGCATTGCTATTTCACGCTAGTCTTCCCGTTGATTTCTGGGGAGAAAGTGTTTTGACAGCAGCATATATCATAAACAGTACACCATCTTCTGTTCTTGATCACCGAACACCGTATGAGATTCTTCATGGACATCGCCCAAGTTACAGTCATCTCCGTGTTTTTGGTAGCCTGTGCTACGCTCATGCTCAGAATCGAACGAAAGACAAGTTTGCTCCAAGAAGCTACCGTTGTATCTTCCTGGGTTACCCATATGGCCAGAAGGGTTGGAGACTTTACAACCTCGACACAAAACAAACTTTTGTTTCTAGAGATGTCATCTTCTCCGAAACAATTTTTCCTTACTCAGCCAGTCTTGATTCAACGTCTACACCATCTTCGTCTTCGCATCTGCAGTCATTTTTTGTGCTTTTCGATGCAACCGATTACTCACATCCTTCTCCGACACCTGCGCCTATTCTAAGCTCCTCCCCTGAGCACTCCGAACCTCCTGTCACACTGACAGAGGATCTACATTCTCCGGCGTCCCCTGTCCATGCCGTGTTTGAACCATCATCGTCATCTACAAATTCACCAACTCTCACTGTCGTCGATCCATCTTCAGCTGCTTCTCCAGTTGCTACAACTGAACCTACTCTAGGACACAGACAACGACAAAAGTTTCAGAATATTTTGCGGAAGGATTTTGTAACCAACTCCGTCACTGTCATGTCAGGTACTCAGTTTCCTCTAGCAAACTATATCTCATATGATCGAGTCTCGCCCAAGCACAGAGCTTTTCTTGTTAAAGTGACAGAGGCCATAGAACCTCAGACATACTCAGAGGCTGCTGGAGATTCTCGCTGGCAGAAGGCGATGTCTGCTGAGATTTTGGCTCTTGAACAAAATCACACTTGAACTCTCGAACCTTTGCCACCACACAATAAAGTGATTGGTTGCAAATGGGTTTTTCGTACAAAATTCAGATCTGATGGCAGTGTTGAGCGTTATAAGGCTCGTCTGGTTATCCTTGGTAATCGACAAACTGAAGATGTGGATTATGAGGATACATTCGCACCGGTAGCAAAGATGGTTACTGTTCGCACTTTCCTTGCGATAGCAGCGGCACATAACTGGGATGTACATCAAATGGATGTCCATAATGAGTTTTTGCACGGTGATCTCAGCGAAGAAGTTTATATGAAACCACCCCTAGGCTATCACGTTTCTACCTTGAATACTGTCTCCCGCCTTCGGAAATCTCTATATGGACTTAAGCAAGCTCCTCGTTGTTGGTTTGCCAAGCTTACTTCGGCCCTAACGAAGTAAGGTTTTGTACAAACGCAATCTGATCACTCGCTATTTGTCCTCCACACCGCCTCCACTCGACTTCATGTTTTGGTTTACGTCGACGATCTTCTTCTCACTGGTAATTCCGCTAAGACAATGGCTGATTTCAAATCTTATCTCAACCAATGTTTTTGAATGAAGGATCTGGGTCCCCTCAAGTATTTTCTTGGGATAGAAGTGGCTAGAAATTCGACTGAATTTTCCTTATGTCAACGAAAATATACATTGGATTTGATTGCTGAGACCGGTCTATTAGCTGCCAAACCTGCTCTGTTTCCACTGGAGCAACATCATCGTCTGAGCATTAGTGACAGTCCTGAGCTTCATGAACCAGAACCTTATCGCAAACTTGTGGGCAAGCTACTCTATTTGCTAGCCACCCGACCAGATATCACTTATGTTGTTCATATTTTGTCACCGTTTATGCAGAAACCTCGTCGGGATCATTGGCTGGCTGCTCTAGTGTTGTCCGCTACTTGAAGCTCAATCCCGATCAAGGCATTCTCCTCCGTTCTGATTCCGATCTCCTTCTATATGGATGGACCGATTCTGACTGGGCTGGCGACCCGAAGACTCGGCGTTCCTTATCAGGTTACATTATACAGCTTGGGTCGTCCCCTGTTTCGTGGCGCTAAAAAAGACAACCCACGATGTCGCTTTCTTCGGCTGAAGCTGAGTACCGTGCTATGGCTGTAACCACTTGTGAGTTGCTTTGGTTGAAAGCTCTGCTCAAATCTCTCGGTGTTCCACATCCAGAATCCATGGTTCTAAGTTGTGATAGCCAAGCGGCTATGCACATTTCGGAAAATGACGTCTTTCACGACAGAACAAAACATATTGAGGTTAGTTGCCATTTCCTCCGACATCATATCAGATCTGGAGAAATCTCAACTCGACATGTTCCGACAACCACTCAACTTGCGGATATATTTACAAAGGCTCTTGGACAAAAGGAGAAATCTCAACTCGACATGTCCCTCACATTGGAGGTTGTAGCATCCATTTTGGTAATTCTTAGACTGTTTGCCGATGAGAAATGGCTTGTTAGCTTAGGTCCAACAACGTAAAAGGACGACAAAAATATTAGACCGGCTGGGGGTGACTTACAGTCCAGAAAACAAAGAGCCTGGAGTTATCATCGCCATACAGTCGTGGATACGTCTATCAACAAATGCAAGGAAAAAAAACAGCATCCAAATTCACCTGCCAACTCACTTGGATCCAAGGGGAAAAAAAAGTGTACAGAGGATGACACAAGGCACTTGCCAGCCCACTTCGATCGAGTTCAGATCGGTTGGGCTCTGACCATTGGCTACAAGCCACATCTGGGACAAACTGAATTCTGCCTCGTGTGCGACGTGTGGTTTCCACGGATTCATAATGGCTTCGGCCCCGACATATTTTGCAACATTCTTCGATTGGATTATGGCGTACTAATGCAACACGCAAAAAGAAAAAAAAGCACGATGAACCCATCAGATTTCGGAAGACCGAGAGGGAAAGGAAGTTGGGCATGGCAGAAACTCCTCAGACTCCGACCTATTGCACGTCAATTCCTGAAATGTCATGTAGGGAATGGTCGTCAATGCAGATTTTGGCTGGACTCTTGGCTTCCCCAAGGTCCGTTGATTGGCTTCCTAGGTGAAGGCGGTCCAAGACAACTAGGGATTCCGAGAAATGCAATGGTAAGTGATGTTTGTAATGCAGAAGGTTGGCTAATACCTCCAGCGAGTTCAGATGAGGTTATTTCTCTACACCTCACGCTCATGGACATTGGTATTCCAGTAACCTCAGACCAACAGGATTACTTTTACTGGTCTGAGAGTTATCGAACTACAGACCATCAACGTTTCACTACTAAGAGGGCATGGAATATGTTCGTTCCTCCACCCCCTCGGGTTCCCTGGAGTAGTGTTATTTGGTTTAATAAATATGTCCCCAAGCATGCCTTTATCTCTTGATTGGTTGCTCGTAACAGGCTACCAACGAGGGATAGGATGCAACGATGGGGACGGGAGGTGCCTTCAACGTGTTTGCTCTGTGACGCGGAACCGGAAACCGTCGATCACCTTTTCTTTGGGTGCTCATATTCGTCTGCAAACTGGAACTCTTTGCTAATCCACTCGGAGCTTCAACTGACTTGGCAATTTACATTCATGGGATGGACTATATGGTTGGGAAGCTGCTCAAATGAACGTTGCATACGGCTGATGAAGCTGCTGATTTTTCAAGGGGCTAGTTACAACACCTGGAAGGACAGGAAAAACACTGAATCCAGTCCGGGGGAAATGCTGGTCAAGGAGATTAGACTTCAAGCAAGAAGACGACTCACAACGATCAGGAACGATTGGACATGCTTACATCCAGACGACTCGCTGTTTTCTATTTGGTTTCGGCTATTTGAGCCAATGTAATTTTTTGTTGTTTTGTGCTCTCATTTCCTGGGTTTGCTGTGTTGCTATCCTTATACATTGTGTATCTCTTTGACTTAAGATGGAGGGTAACACATTCCTTCATCCTGGTAGACGTTATTACAGAGGAATAGTATTTACATTTTTAACAAAAAAAAAAGCACGATGGAATTATAATAGATTTTAAATGAAATAAACATCTGTCATGGACCAAAGCATAAAAAAGATCGAATTTTCTGAAATTATATTAGTTTTTTTAAGGAAATCTATCGTTCTCATTTTGTTTGTTATATAGTTTTATATTTTAAAAAATAATAAAATTTTTGTAAAATTATTTTCTTACAATTTGGTTTAAACTAAATCGTTATAAATGATTTGTGATAATATTATTAATTAGAAAAAAATAACTATTTAAAAAAACTAATAAATAAATCTCTGAATATAAAACTGACTATTTAGTCCTCACAAACATATGATGTATCAACAATTTTATCTTAATCAGATGAACGTTTTTTGGCACATTATTTTACAATATTAAGTAATAAAAAATTAAGAATCTATAATAATAATAATAAACAAAAATTACATATATACACACATATGCATACATATACATATACATATATACATATGTACATACATGCATATATACATTTTCCTGTCAATATTCACTGTGATTAAAGGTCTATTTCCAGGTGTTTCGTTCATGTATAGCGTGAATTATAATATCGTGTATATATATATATTCGTTCATGTAGCGCGAATTATAATATTATATATATAGATATAGAGATATATATATATATAATCTAGATAATATATATGCACTAGAATAGCTTAAAACCATACATGTGTGATCTCTGTATGAAGGAATATTGTCACATTCAATACCTTGAATTTCTCTTATTAAATATAACCGGAAAGAGTTTCATACGTCGCCTACATTCAAATTCAGGGGCAATCAGGGCTCCTACCGGGCCCACCAAAGTAGATGTGAGTTCCCTGGTTCTCGTCAACCGAGAGAACTAAATTGTAGCATTTCTCATTATCAACGTCGATGTCAGCGATACGGGGCTCCCCATTCCTAACGTGCTGATCATTGATTACGGCAATGTGACTCATGTAGCACGACTTGCTGTACCCTTCCTCGCCGAAGTGGCCATTCCCCATGGCGGTTGCCGTGTGCTGCCCGCCTCTCTTAAGATTCACGAGACCCGCATGCTCCTGCATATTTGTAAAGATCCCCTTCGGCCAAAACCCGATTTTCTCCCCGTTGAATGTCAGCCACCAATCTCCGCTCACGGGATCCTACCAAAACCATTAGTTCTCTTGCATAAATGCCATGCACTTTTATTAATTAGGCCAATGAATTCGGATCTCACCTTCTCTACTTTTACGGTCATTAAATATTGCATACCACCGTAAGCCGAGAAATATTGGAAGGATGTTCCAACTCCGTAATGCTCGGTAGTTTGAACGAAGCCATGACACAAGAGGTTGTGGCATCCCGTGCGGTAATTATCAGGCTGTTTGTCGAGTTTCCATTTGTGCATGAGAAATGGCTCGTTAGCTTAGTTCATATACTAATAGGGAGCGAGAAAGGACGACAAAATATGAGACCGGCTCGGGGTAACTTACAGTCCAGAAAACAAAGAACCTGGGGATATCATCACCGTAAAGTTTTGGATACGCCTATAAGCAAATGCAAGAAAAAGTTTTGGATACACCAGCCAACCCACTTGGATCCAAAAAAAAAAGCATAGAGGATGAAACAAGGCACCTGCCAACCAACTTCGATCGTGTTCAGATCGTCTTCAGTCTCCCCTTCGGCCAAAAGCCACATCTGGGCCAAACTGAATTCCTCTCGGTCTTCGACGAGTGGTCTCCACAGATTGACATGGACCTCGGCCCCGTGATATACTCCCTCCTCCGCATGCATCACGGCATACTGATGCAATATCGAATGAAAAACAGAAGGGACGATGAAAATATAACATTTATGAGGAGGATTGTGAAATTGCTAGTTCAAATGCCTGTATTTTGATGGTATAAAAAAATATATAAAAAAGACTAATTTTTTTTGTGAAATTATAATATATATTTTGAAGAAATTTAACATTCTGATTTTGTTTGTTATATAAATTTATATTTTGAAAAATATTGAATATTTTTGTAAAATTATTTTCTCACCAATATTTGGTTTAAACTAAATTGTAAAAATGATTTATGATAATATTATTAATTAGATAAAAAAAATCTGTAGAAATTAATATAATTATTAAAACTATATATATATATTGAGCATGATATCCCAAAGTTATACGAGACAACTCTGCGACTACGTATGAATATATACCTCATGCGATTCACCTTGGCTGGGTGTAGGTGTATTTGTTAGGTGAGATCGATGCTTACGGAAGCTATAACTTCCATCCTTTTTTCCGTAACTTTCGACGGAACCCCATCGTAAGAGATCTTCCCTTGTTGTTCTTCTTATCGGAACAGTATTTTTTGGACATTTTCCATTCCTATGCCATAGTTGACTTATGGGCAGCAGTTTTTCATCAGTGTTCACGGAATGATTTTTTGGGGGAAAGCTCGGTACTTTGGCATCGTTTCCATGAAAAAAAACACAATAAAATAATGTGAAAAAATATCAAATCAATGATATCAAGAGAAAATACTAGTCAAAGAAATAATTTTTTGCATACCTGAATAGTGTAGTTCTTTAACAAATGATGGTCAAAAGCGTGTTGTTTGTATATATCAACACAATCTATTATATCTCCATCGGGACTCTATTTAGTAGAAATATGAAAAATTGAAACAACAACGTCATAATAAAGAAACATTAATGATAGTCATCTCTTAAATGAAGTTATAATATCTATCAATATAAGAAACAAGAAATCTTATAGCTTATATATCCATGTGCCGTTACATACTTTGATGGATTTAACAGCGAGTTTGTTGATTCGCTTCAGATGCCATTGTATCTCAACCTCTTCCAATTCTGAAAGCTCCCTCCTTCCGTAGGAGGCTGTGCTTATCATCGCCATGACTGCTAAAAACAACAACAAAATGGTCGTCCGACCAACCATGAAGACATGAGATGCCATTCTAACAAACAATATCAATAGCTTTCAGATTGTTGGTATGGCTCTCGTTTCCAAATGTTTGGAATTTATAAGCATAGAATTGGTTCATAAACCAAAACAACCATAATTGTTTCCATACAATATAGGTGACTCGATACATGAACAGATGGTTTATTTTCCTAATGTTTGGGACCTATATTCGTAGAATGGATTCATTTTATTGATAAGGTTAAATGTAGAAATGGAAATCACATATTAAAAAGCACAACCCTAAATTCAAAATGAAAAACGGATATTTTCCATAAGAAAATTCTAATAAATATTTTTATTAAAATAAACGATTTTATACTTATAAAATGTGATAATTGGATCTATATCCATATATATAATATTTATCAACCGGAATGATGATTTTTTTTACTTGAAATGTATTATTTAATCTCCACTAGAATATAACAATCGATTGCAATATAAACTAAAGGCCTAGGTTATATTTATAGGATATCAACAAAAAGTTCACAAATTTTCAGAAATTAATTATAATAAAACATTTATATTGCACGGACAAAAATATCCAAATCATTTTCTCCATTCTCTAATATGTATGTGGCAATCCACGTCATCAAATTCGTG